CTGGAAAAAAGAAGATTGAAAAGAATATCATAAAATAGAAAGATAGTTGGGGAGACAGCTAAGCAGCTTAAGCACCTGTCTGGCAAGCACAAGGTCATGAGTTCAATCCCCCGTACCAAAAAGAATAAGAAGAAAGAAGGAAGAAGGAAGAAGAAAAAGGAGAAGGAGAAAGAGAAGAAGGAGAAGGAGAGGAGGAAGTGGAGGAAGGGGAAGAGGAAGAAGAGGATGAGGTAGAAGAAGAAAAGAAGGAGGAGGAGGAAGAGGAGGAAGAAGAAGAAGAAGACGACAACGAAGACGTAGATGCAGACGAAGAAGAAGAAGAAACAAAGATATCCTTTGTTCTTGGGTAGGAAGAACCAGTATAGTGAAAGTGGTGATACTTCCAAATCTGTTATGTAGATTTAATGAAAAAAAATTATGTATTTAGGACAGGATCTACAAGGTCTACAGGGTCTCACCACGTATATTGGACTCGTAGTGATTCTCGTTTTCAGCCTCCCAAGCACTGGGATTACAGACACGCACCACCACACCCAGTCTCAATGGCTGTCTCAGTGCACTCAGGGGCAGGGCTGGCAAAGCATGCCAGGGATCGAACCCCAGCCACTGTGTTCTGCCTAAGCAGGTGCTTTGGTCTGCTGAGCTATCTGGCTGGCTAGATTTAACGAAATTCTGATCAAAATTCCAACATCATATCTCGCTGATTTAAAGAAGACAATCCTAGAATTCATTAAGAAACAGAAGATAGGGCTGGTGAGATGGCTCAGTGGTCTAAAGCACCTACTTAGAACAAGCTTAGCAAAAACAAAGGGACCGCGGTTCAATCCCCCAGCACCACATGCCAGCCAGCCCCGCCCCCTGGTGGGCTGAGCTGGCCACACACACACACACACACACACACACATAAATGAATAAAATTTTTTAAAAAAGAAACAGAAGATACCTGAAATAGCAAAGGCAAGACAGTAGACATCACAATTCCTAACTTGAAATTATGCTATAGAGCTACTGTGATGAAAGCAGCATGGTACTAGAAAAAAAACAAAACAAATAAACAAGAAAATCAGACCTGATGAAAAATAGAACAGATAAAAAAATGCACAAACAACTTCAAACATACTCAGCCACTTTATCTTTGGCAAAGGAGCCAAAACCCTTCACTGGAAGGAAGATAGCCTCTTTAATAAGTGGTGCTGGAAAAACTGGTTTTCCATACATCAAAAATTAAAACTAGACCTATATATTTCACCATGCACTAAACTACATTCAAAATGGATTAAAGATCTAAATATTAAAAAAGAGACACTAAATCTGCTGGAAGATAGAATAGGTAGAACTCTGGAAAACATTGGTACAGGCAAAAGCTTTGATCACTAAGGAAATACCACAAAGAATCAACACCTGGGATCTCACCTTATTTTGTACAGCAAGATAAATGACCAACAGAGTAAAAAAAAAGGAAACCCTTTTTACTGGGAAAAATTATTTACCAGCTGTTCCTCAAAGGACTACTATCTAGAATATATAAAGAACTAAAAACAAAACAAAACAAATCCCCCAAATTTAAAGACCTAATCAAAAAATGGACATCTGAAATTAACATATGCTTCTCAGATGACAAAGTAGAAATGGCAAATAAATGTATGAAAAAATGTTCAGTATCATTGATCATTCAAGAGATGCTAATTAAAACAACACTGGGATTGCATCTCATCCTGAAAAGAAGGGCTATTATCAAGAAATCAGGGCTGGCCAGATAGCTCAGCAGATTAAAGCGTCTGCTTAGGCAGACACGGGTCAGAGGTTTGATCCCTGGCATGCCATGCCGGCGATTGAGCCTGGGTGTGGTGGCATGTGCCTGTAATCCCAGCACTTGGGAAGCTGAAAACAGGATGATCACTACAAGCCCAATCTGTGTAGTGAGACCCTGTAGACCTTGCACTAAATAAAAAAAAAAAAAAAATCAACCAATACCAAATGCTGACAGAGCTATGAGGAATAGGGAACCCTTCTCCAGTGTTAGTGGGAATGTAGACTGGTGCAACAACTGTGGAAATCAGTGTGGATATCCCTCAAAAAACTACTACTGGAGGGTCCATCCCACCCAGCTGTTTCCCATTCTTCTTTTTTTTTTTTTCTTTTTTTTTGTGGAACCGGGAATTGAACTCAGGCCCTTGCACTTGCCAGGGAAGCACTTATTCCACTGAGCCGTCTCCCCGGCCCCTGTTTCCCATTCTTCCTAAAAGAATTAAAAGCATCATATGGGGGCCAGGGAGACAGCTCAGTAGAATAAGTGCTTGTCTGGCAAGTGCAAGGGCCTGAGTTCAATCCCTGGTTCTGAAGAAAAAAAAAAAAAAGTATCACATGACAGTGATGTGTACACACCCATAATTATAGTATGCACACCCATAATTATAGTAGCACAGTTTGAGATAGTGATCTTGGAAACATCCCAAATGCCTGTCAATTGGTGAATGGATAAAGAAGATGGGGGGGTTATATACCATGGAATACTACTCTGTCATAAATAAGGATAACCTTGAGACATTTCTATCTAATTGGATTGAAATCATACTTTTTTTTTTTTGTTTTTTGGTACCAGGAATCAAACTCAGGAGCCTGTGCTTGCCAGGCAGGCACTGTGCCGCTGACCTATATCCCTGGCCTTGAAACCATACACTTAAGTGAAATAAATGGGACACACCTGTGTAAATACCACTTTGTTTCTCTGGCATGAGAAACTGAAAGTGTAAATAAGGACCAAAATGTATAATAGATATTGGGGAATGGGAAGAAAATATTCAAATGGAAAGGAGAAATGGGGTAGGGGGAAAAAAGAAGGGCAAGGGAAAAAAAGGTAGAAGAAAAAAAGGAGACAAAGCTCTTGTAAATAATGAGGTAAGAAGTTAAGGGGAGGTGGAAAAAAGAAGCAGCAAGATATATCATATACAGGTACAGGGGCCGGGGAGATGGCTCAGTGGAATAAGCGCTTCCCTGGCAAGCGCAAGGGCCTGAGTTCAATCCCCGGTTCTGCAAAAA